ATCCACAATATCAGAACCCACAATATTCAATTTATTATCAATATCATAGAAGGGAAAACATTTTACACAAGGTAAAGCTGTGAATCTTTAAAATGACTTGAGAGAAGAATCAACATTCAAAATAGTTACATAAATAATACATTTTCATCAGCACTCCTGGTTGTAATGTCATGTGTTCCATTCTTTTCGTCTCTTTCCCAGATGAGACCATAGTTCCTCCAGATGTGCCCAGTTACCTCTCCTCCCAGGGCACTCTGTCCGAGCGGCAGGATGTGTGTATCCGCGTGGAGGCCGGCGGTGGACCTCAGCCCAACGGACACATCGTAGACACCACAGGTAGCTGACAGTTGAATCTGCTCGGTCTTCCAAATGTTTGTGCTCCCCAGCAGTTTCTCCCACTTCCCATGAGCGAAGTTGGTGTGTTGCATAATGGTGAAAGGAGGACCGTTGTCTGTGAAGGCCTGCTCTGCATCAGAGATAATTACTGCAGACACCCAGACCACAGTGTTGATATACAGTTGTTGATTTTCTGCCTCCGATTCATTTATTTTCTCTCTCTCTCTCTCTCTGCCTGCAGGTTATGACGGTGCAGTAGTGTGTACAGATTGTATGGAGAACAGCAGCAGCTACTCCAAAGATCCCGACTACCTGACACACAGCTTCGGCCCTGTTGGAGGCATGGAGTATCAGCAGCACTCTGTTCCCCCGCCTTACTCTCACTTTCACCCAGTGGAGCATCACGAACCAGCGTCACACACAACCCTGCTCTGCAATGGGACACCCAACGGGATCCGGAAGGACATTCAGGGATCCACGTTTCCAAAAAACCACAATACGTTACAAGGGAACCAACAGGATAGAAAAGGTGAGACGATCAGAGAGAGTTCAAACGCCAACAGCCTTATCCCATAAACAAAGACAGTAATAAAGTAATAAATCCTAAATCTTAGTTTTTCTATCAGGTGATACCATGCGAAACTATCAGCATATGAGGAACTCTTATCAAGACAAATTTCTTTGAACCTGATTGTTGATAGATTGGCTCCTACCAGCATTTGACAGTGTATCATAGTTGCATGCCCAGAGCCCCTCAGGATATGTCTCTAAAACCACTGCAAAGCACCACTGAGTTCTCTCTGCTGCCAAACTCCTGCAGTTGCACGTCAGGGCCTGTTCTGGGATTCAGCTTCTTTTGCGAGGAGTAATACCACAGGAATTGGCCTTCAAATACCAATTCTCACCTCCACATGTCAACGCAGCCCTGTACACACATTCCACTGCCTCTATATCCTATAGCGAAATGTATATTTGTCTACATACATGTCACGTCATTGACTTTGCCTGTTTCTAACTCCTTCTGTTCTGTGTTCATCAGCGAGCAGAGCGGGACAGACGCTGGCGTGCTCGCCACCACAGGAAGAGTCCTTCCACAAGCCGGTGAAGCTGGCCGGCGTGACGAGCCACGGCCTCTCCGACACTGACTGTGAGCCTGAGCTCAGACAGACTCTGTTGTCTAATGGACACACCCTTAGAGCCTCTCAGAATGAGAGCACCCCCCTAAGGAGAGCCAGCGACTAGCAGTCGCTGCATCCAGCCCAAAACGTGGACTCGCAATAGATGAGTGGACTTTCTCTTTTTTTTTCTTTTTTTTTTTTTGCACTGGGAAATAAACTGCTACCTCATATCGAGGCAATCGATCCTGAGCCTCCTGGATGTCGACTGACTTGGAGCGCCGGGAGGGGAAAAAACGCAGGGGACATCCGGAGTTTGAAGGTGGAGCTTGTGTGGGTGGCGTCCCATCTGAGCGTATGAGCTGTACATAGTTAAAACCTTCCCTTGGGAGGTGACCAATAAAAATTCTAGCTCCAAAAAATGTGACTTGCATTTGAAGCATGTAAATGTAGGGAATCTTGTACAGTGTATGTATGTGCAGGGGCAAAAAAGAGAAATATACCTTTGGACATTTGACTGTACATAAGAGTTTTCTTATATTATATATTATATAACTTTTACAAAAGAGTATTTGAATTTATGTGCATGACAAAGAAAGGAGTGATGGTATTTTTATTTTTCTTCAAAAAAAAACTGTCTTTTCAGCTTTTACCAACATTCAGCTGCGGTGCCTTATTGCATGATCAAAGAAAACTCAACTTGTAATAGCATATATCAAGAGACCTTTGTCAGAGATACTGGTACACTCTTTATAGCAAACAAAACAAAACACTTGATTGCACTTGAATTTTTCTTTTTTTTTTTTTTTCTTTCTTTTTTTTGACAAACGCTGCCAACCATGGCCTTACAGAAACACAATTCACACTTGTTATTGTATGAAGGAAGAGCTTTGATGTAAATTATTTTGGTACGTCAGATGGTTCAAGGGGGGATATTTGTGGGCGGTCAGTTAAAGCACTTTTATACTCACTTCATAAACAAGCCGATTGTGTACATGATATCTGCCAATAGGAATGCAGGAACCTCCTCTGCACGAGGAGACATTCCACTTATTTTGACACGGTAAACTTGACAGTACATACTGTAACATTAAGGCTCTTCCACCTGTTTCACAATATAAATGTTACTGCAAAGCTGCTCTGAGTTCGTTGGGAGAAAATCTTCTTCTCTTAGGTTCTTTATCTGTCCAGGAAAGTGACTTTGGCACAAGTTTGCAACCAAATGTGGACAAACATCAGCCGTCAGCTGTAACTTGGAGCTGTAGTTGTATCTTATGAAGCTGTAAAAGCTAGTAATGATCTCTTAGTGTGGACACAGGACAGCTGTCATGAAATCTCCAGTTATATGTGCACTCAGGCACTGACATGTTATTGGCCCAATGCTTAATGAAATAATTCTTATGCTTTGGATTTATAAAAAAAAAAAAAAAAAAAGATGGAGAATCAGGGAGAATGATGTTGTATTGTGTCATGATGTTACTGCTGTAATATGCCTCAAGATCCAGCGATGATGTGCATTCAGAAGCAAATGGCCAGTATTCCACCTCTGTCACACCACCACCACCACATTGTAACAGAAAACTTTCTCAGCATCACTACAGTTGAATAATGTTTCATGCTTGAGGTAACTAAAGGTGCGGCTCGATGCTGTGAACAGTGGGAAAGCTTGTGAAATGTGCTCTAACCAAACTTGGAGGAATAATGCAGTCAGATGCTCCCCGAACTGTCACAGTCCCTGCATACCCTGGCTCTGAAATCAGTCAGAGTAGTTACAGTGTCTAATGTGTTTCCCCCACTGTGCCCTTGTCTGAACTATGTTCTGTTAACCAGTGGCCTTATCAAGGTAAGCTGGAGGACAAGCTCCTCTGGTTACACCTGATAGCACCTATCAGAGATGATTTTCCAGCAAGACCAATCAGAGAGCCCTGGTGGAAAATCAATTCCAGTGTAGTAGGTAAAAGGGACAAGAGGGAGTCGGGTGCAGGTCGTGTTCTGAGTAATTTATTGAAACAAACTGTCCCAAACCGTTGTACCAATGTCAAAGCTGCAAACAGTGAAGTGTCTAACATGGCATTGAAGTGTCTAATAAAAATCACATTTTGCTATTATTCCAAGTGTTTCCTCTGTGTCTCCGCCTGAATCAACACTTGAAAGGAAAGGATGTTTTGTGTGACAACCGTATCACAAACAGCTGAGTTAGCATTTAGCGCCGCTCACATGTCACAGTGGTTATGGAGAAGTCATCAATTCAAATGGAGCATGCACAAGGACATGAAACCCAGAGACCTTGATCTTCAAAGCAGTCAAGTAGCTTGCGCCTGGACCACTAACACACGAACACACACACACACACACACAGAGAGCTAATCTTCCAACCAGGAATGTCTCCTGGCTCCCTGAAGCTCCAAAGACAGCAGGCATATTTTTTCCTTCTGTGGGCTGTTTAAAATATTTGCTATTGAGTCAGGGCTGACTGAGGGTCAGTGGCTGGCCAGAATGTGCATTCCAGATGGATGTTTGTCACCAGATGATTGACATGCCCCCGGCCGTGGCCTCCACCAATCACACACCGACCATTGTTGTCCAACAGCCTAGTGACAAGCAGCATGACAAACACTCCCACCTGTGAGGCCATCCGTCTCCCTCTGCCCCCACCAGGATTTACCAAGTCTTCAGCGTACCTCTGTACTGACTGCTGAAGGACAACACTGAGGTGATTCACTGGAAAAGAGAAGGGAAAACACTGATACTGAGGCTAAATATTCCTGCATATGTCATTAAGATGATCCTTCTTCCGTCTGACGTAGAGGAGTAATTTGTTCATCTTGTAATAAGTTATCTTGAATAACTCTAGTTCTTTTTTTTTGTTTGTTTAAAAAAAAAAAGGAACATGCATGGAAAGTGGAGACCAGTGGGATTCAGCTGGTGCAGAGGGAATCCTCTTACACATCCTAACCATTAAATGAATCAAAGAAATCCACTGATTCACTGCACCATAGTACATTTAATTCCAGCCTCTGCTGCACAACAGACCAGTGCACTTACACAATTATCAATCATCTTTCTTTTCCCCACAGAATCCTATCGTTTCCTGTGTAAGTGCAGCTGTAATTACATCTGTAGTTCATGTAGCATCATAACTACTTACTTTAATGGTCAGTTAACACGTCACAACAAACTTGCCTGTCCTTGATAGATTTGGTTTTAGGCCTCGGTGGCAGATACTGTATCCTACAACCTTGGCGAACAAAATCTGAACCATGTGCATGGCTCGATGCCATTAAGTGTAAGTGGGATGGTATGCTTTTTTTTTTTTTTTTTTTTATAGTTTTAGTGAACTGATCCTTTAAGAATTACACGCTTCTTTAAAAATATACGAGCTATTCCCAGTAATCCCAACTAATCTGTATGACTTCAATCATTTCCCCAATTTTAGAAATGGTGTCAAATACAGTATTGGCTGTTGAATAAATAATAAGTGTATGCAAATGATATTTATACTTACAACTACAATAAAAACAGATTTTTATTCATTTAATTACAATCTGACAAACCTAGGACCTATTACAATTAAACAGCACATTTAATAGTTTCACCAGCTGCTTAACAGAAACTTTTACTCGTTTACTCTGCTTCATAGTATCAGTGCTTTTTCATTCTAACCCTGTTCTTTATGGAATATTTGTACATTTTGGACAATACACTTATTTACTTTAGTTACACGAGAGGATCGATGTCACTCTCGTTTATATCTGCTAAATATTAAGCCTTTGTTTAATGCATACATAAACACAGGGGTTCTGTATGAGACTATTATTTTTAGGAAAAACGTACTTCTTGAAGGTCACTGTGTTAATGAGGGAGCTTCAGAAAGAGCCAGGTTAGCTGTTTCCCCGTTTTCAGTGTCCATGCTAAGCTAAGTTAGCCGACAGCTGGTGGTAGCTTTATCGATCTCATCTCTCAGATTACAGTTTAAAGTTAATTCTCAACCATGAACGTATAACTTTTTGTGATAACAACATCCCTTACTGTAGGTTCTCTCGTTGCTCTACTGGAAATCAACAACAGTATCTGAATCTGGATCAATGTAACTTTGAATAAACCTGCATTTTTACAGGTTTGAGATTAAGGAAGTGCACCTTACAAAAAAGTCGCCATCTTAATTGATCTTTTCCAATCACCTAATAACAATATTTCATAATAAAGACGGCAGATATACCCCAAACTGTAAGACACAGGCTGGTGCAGGACACCTGGGGGCTCTTAATAAAACAAAGGCCTTGTTAATTTAACAAAGTGGTTTATTGTTGGAGGCATCTTAAGTATGAATTTAAAGCTCTTGCAGATGGATGAGCTCAGTTGTGCTCCAGCGGGAATGTAACAATGCTAAGATATTACTGTGTCTCCCCGGTGGATCTTTAACACAGGTGGCTTGGCTTAATGGAGAGAAGAAAATATGGATAAAACACTAAAATAATCATGAAACAATGTAGAGAAGGCAGCCCACAGGGAACCAAAGGAATCACCACACCTCACTCAAAGTAGAAGAAGAGACAGTCTTTAAAAACCATAACTCGTTCATTCACACACACATTAAACAGTAAAGATGCTTCACTGCTCGTCTTGTCTTGTGTGGCTCCGTTTCGCCGAGCCACTGGTGCTGCTCAACAAGTGGGACTGCGGCTGTTACACTCAATCTGCAGGGCAGCGATGAGCAGGAATGCTGGGTAATGGGATCAAGCTTGCGGACGGCTCTTCTCCCCGAGCACCAGGTGATCCTTGCTTCTCGGGGGCCCTGCAGCATGGAAGTGCAGGGGGGCCCTCAGGGTGCTACTTCCTGGAGATGCTATCCCTGCCACTCTCTTGCACCAGGTCTGGGCTCAGGACGGTCACGAGAGGATGTGGTGCTATAGCAAAGTGCGGCGGACCTTTTCATAGGTTCCCAGGAAGATGAAACCGCCAACGCTGATGAAGGTCATCCTCGGTATGCTGCCTGCAAACAGACTGTGGAAAAAGAAGGAAAGAAGAAGACATGTTTTAAATTAAGAATTTTAAATAGTTCAGAGAAATGTAAGTGCAGTAATATTTGCGAGAACTTGCAATTTTACCAAGCAACCTCTACAGTAGCCCTCTGCAAGAAAATATTATTTATTTATTTATTTATTTGTTATTTGGTTGATTGATCTATTGATTTAGGGATAATTAATCACCAGCCATTTTGATAATAGATAACAACTGAGAATCATTTAAGCTGGTTCCAGCTTCTAAAATGTGAGGATCTGCTGATTTTATATGACTGGAAACAGAACAGCTTTGGGTTTTGGACTGCTGTTCGGCACTGACATGCTTCATGTACACTGCGATCGATTCGCCAGGTCTGTTTCCATTACACTTTGTCGCCGTTTGCTTTTATCGATACACCGACTTTTCCACCTCAGCCAAGTGTGAGGACGTTTTTGCAATATGTTGTTTTCTTTTTTCTAATCTTTGACATTTCCACTCAAGTTGTTCTGGGTGCAAATTGAAACTGTGCATAAAAACAGGTGGAAACACACTTAATGACTTAACCAAAAAGAAAACACACAAATCTCGGCCATCCTTTTGCCCTATTGGTTAAAAAGCATACCATATACATTGAATGTCATGCAGTGTCCAGGTTTGAATTCAATTTCTGTTCTCTCTCCGGACTTGTTTCCTGTTAACTGTCCACTACCAAAATAAAGGCAAAATTCCCCCAAAAACAGTAACAAAATAAAGGGAAAATAAGAGACAGTGATTTGATCAGTTTCAGTGACTTCAGAACAGCTTGCAGAAGATAACGCCTCGGCTTCTTGTGGTTTAAGAGCTCGGGCTTGTTTTAACACATATCAGGAAAGACTAAACTTTCTAAAAGTCCCCAGTTGAAAAATGTAGCAACAAACCCTCAAAATCTACACTCTAAAGCCGAGCACATTAAGAGTTTATTTCCACTGCCGGTGTAAAAACAAGCAGAGAAGCTCTGTGCAAGGACGAGTGCTACTTCCAATCATACACATCTCAGTGTAGTCCTCGCTAAGCACAAAGAGAAAACAAATATGTCCACACAAGAGGTGACACGAAAGAAGATTAATAGCACAACAGGAATAAAGCTGAATGTGGAAGCATGTTATTTTTCCCACAGCACAATCCTCTCCAGTGAATTAAACCTAATCCCACTGTATCTACCACATACAGTGCGTTACATTTTTCACGGCATGTTGGGAATTTCTCAGCTTTACCACATGCACACACCCGAACTTCATTTCAAGGAAGCGCTACAGGACGAAGTAGAAGTAGTTTTTTTTTTTTTTTGTACTTGGAAAATTCTTCCCCAAAGTTTTTATTAAGAAATGCTGTGAACAGAGCTGAGGGCAGCGCAGACTCTATCATGTATCACTCCGCTGATCGAAAGTATCTGCGAGTGATTTACGGCAACTTCTCGGAAGCAGGGCCAGCTCGCGCTCGGGGGCACAGGGTCCATGGGAGGGGGCCAAACATGAAGCCAAGTTAGAGCGACTGAGCCCCAACAAGAAGCTGTTGACGTTGCAGGGGTCAGAGGATGTGATGGGACATGAGAGAGCACCCATCTCCCAAGAACACCCCCCGCCCCCACACACACACACACAGCTGTTTTTAGGATTAGGCTTCAAGCCCCCACCCTGAGGGCTCCCCGGAGCTCCCACCCCCCTCTCTCTCTCTTTCTCTCTCTCCGTGCATGACTGATGGCCAGATGACATCCACACATGTCCCTCTGCTGTCCATCCATCCATTTCTCTCAGTCTCCCCGTCCAGCGACGGCCCCCTCAGCTGGCTCAGTTGTTCGGGGATTTCTCCTCCGTCTCCTTTTCTTGCTGCGTCATCCACTTCTCAGACACGTGCTCACTTTGTGCCGTCTGTTCATATGCATTTTCGTGTGTGTGTCTCTCTCTCTCTCTCTCTTTTTATTTTCCCATTTCTCTCCCCGTCTCTCTTTCTCACCGTGTACTTGCCTACCAACACCTTCCGTCTGCCAAAACGCCCCCACGCTCACATGGTCTGGACCCATCCAAGCCAGATGTAATGGATGAAGAGTATTGTGTGTTTGTGTGCCTGTATGTGTGTGTGTGTGTGTGTGTGTGTGTGTGTGTGTGTGTGTGTGCGAGTGAAGAGAAAGTACGTAAAACTGTCTACGCACACAAAATGTCTGTCTGCATTCATCATCTGTGTGGGTTTGTGTGTTCTACTCCTGTTTCTGTCCATTTTAACTTTTACAAGCCTTTTGAAATATTGGAAGTATTCTCCTGCTCTGTTGGTCCATCACTCCGGTCCAGATTGAAACATCTCAGCAGCTACAAACTACAGTCGACTGCCATGAGATTTTATATGGACATTTTCGCTGCCCAGATAATCAATCCTGCTGACTTTGCTGATCCCAGCAGCTCACAGATTTCACATGTCCAGTAAAATATCTCAACACAATCTAGACGGACTGGCACAAAACTTTGTACAAACTTTCGTGGTCCAAAGACGGTGAATCCTGAAGACGTTGGTCATCCCCTGACTCCTGCTCTTGCATCGAAATGAGGTCACAGTTTTGGTTCAGAGAGAAATGTCTCAACAACTATTGGATACTTCCATTAGATTTGGTTCAAGGTTACAGTCTATTTAGTACAAATTTCCCTCTCTGTTTCCAGGGAAAGAAGTTTCCTGTGGCGCTGCAGCAGAGGCAGAGCAGTTGTGTGTAGGTTTGTTGCTGTTAACCAGCCTTTACTTGTCAAGCTGAACTAAGAAATGAATTTGTATTTTGCAAATTTGAAAGCTGGAGCATTTTTTCACACCTGCCGCACTGTGTGTTTGGATCATATTTGTGTGTGTATGACATCTCAATGTCCATCCCCCCACCCCCCTCAATACATGTGACCACTATGAAATATCAACTCGATCTATCTCAGTGGGACTGATGAAGCTGCATTTCATCCTCAGCTGAACTCTGGAGTTGCACTGTCACACAGACTGAGGGCTCTGCGTTTAGTCCCCCCATTTCACAGCGTAGTCACGTTCCCGATCAAAAGCCTCGGGGCCGATGTGGAGAGGAGGAATAGTCACAGCAAACAAGACCTATTCTCTCATACATATGGACACATCACTGTTGTACATGGGAAAAATCCTAAACCCATCCTCTAAATTTTCAATTAGCAGATAATCAAATCAACATTTCACTTTGGTTTGTGACCAAAAAGCTCCAGAGCTAATGACTTTTCCCATCAGCCTCAGCTGGACTTTGTGATTAGCACTAATTAGCAAATGTCAGCATAAGACGTGAAACACAGACTTATGGTCAAAACTGTACAAACAGTGGCATGTTAGCATTGTCACGTTAGCATGACATTAGCATTTATAGGCATTGCCCTATGTCCCCCTACTGTGCCAATGTCTGTTTCTTTATCAGATATCAGAAATCAGAATCAGGTTTATTGCCAAGTAGGTTATACTGTCCTAGACTGCCTCTATTTCTGGCTGCTTGACTGCTGCTCTTTCCCTGGCAGTTTAAGATTTAGGTCACAAATGGACTTAATGCTTGTGCATCACTTTTGTCGACTGCAAAGCTTTACAAGGTACCAAGCATGTCATGGATCTCCCAAACATCCCAACCATTCACGCAACTCCACGTTTCAGAATGCCCCGGCCCAGATCGGGTGTTTCCAAAAGACGCTCTGTGAAGGGTTAGCTGTGCGTGGCTGGTGTGTGTGTGTAAGACACAAAGAGTGTGTATGTGTGAGAGATAGAGAATCCAAGTGTGTTTGTATAAGCACCGACTGGTGTAAATGCTCCAAATAAACGTGGAGACATTAGTCAGAGGTTGTTGTCCTGCCCTTCAGTGTGCTCTTTCCATCTCGACACAGCTATCTATCACCATCTGCTGAAACCCAAGCCACAGGCCCGCTCCAGGCAACTACTTAGCATTACTCACACAACAATATTAAATATGATCCAAAGCTCATCAAAACCCAATGACGGAGAGGGAGAAAAGTGAAGAGAGGAAAACTTGTCCACCGGGCAGCTGGACAGCTAAACAACGACACGGTAGACACAACAAGTCCTGACATATTCCACTCTGTCTTCTCATGTGATTGCCAGCAGTGAGAGGAATGAACTAATTTTAAACTCAACACTCTTGTTTTGTCTCAGCTCTGGACTGGCGTTACATTTCCTATCTGGGATCAGGCCCACCTGTGGACTCTGAGACGTCAGAGCAGAGCCAGAGCTCCGATATTCCCCTCGGCTCCCTGACTCACTCTGACATCACAGCCTGGCCAGCCACTGAGCGCCGTCATTCCCCGACTGTCCGCCAATCACCTCTCCTGGGGAATCGCACTAAATATAGTTTCAAGGCTTGACAGGAGCATATGGAAGAATAGTGATGAGCTCAAACCAAATGTCTTGGCTTTAGTTTAGAAAAGATGTTGGTGCCCTTGTAGAAGAGGAGAAAGAGCTAAATTTCTGCCACCTGTGTAGGAACAGTGCTGAGGTTATAATAAATAGCCTTTCTTGGATATATAGCTCTTTCATAGGATACATTTAAAAATAAAGAGACCAGTTCTAACCTGTGTGGGTCTTAATCAAAACTGAGACAGTTTGATGTTTTATACATTCCTTCAGGAGGGGGTGGGCTTACTTGAATTTCTTGGACAAAAAGGTGGATGACAATAACACAAGTCAAGTCAAAAACACAGATGTTAAAACATTTTCCCTTAAAAACACAAACCCCACACTTGTCCACCCAAACACCACACACACAGTGAAGGACATGAACTGTATCTGTGGCACTCTGGCTGTGCACTGCACATCTTTGCCAGCAGTACGCTCTATTCGTCCCAGATACTCTGCAATTGCCTAACATTTGTTTAAAGGGTTTATTGTGTAAGTTTTTCTTTGCTTCCGAACGTGGTTTCTTGTTGGGAGAGGGTGGGGGTGGTTTTCGCTTGAAAAGAGCTTCAGCCATCGTTGTGTTTACAAGACAAGAGGCTATGATACGCTCTCTGAGCAGCGCTTCGTCCTCAGGGCAGATTGGAGGCTACAGTGAGTTGATATCGGAAAGTGACGAGACGGGCCGGCGCTAGCTGGTTAGCCTGCTAACTTCAGTAGAGGAAGAGATGCGATAGAGACAAGATTTAACATTGGCATTGCTTTCCACTGCTGTAGACAGCTCTTGGCGAGTAAAGGAATGAAGTTTGATGCTCAACTAGCAACATTTGTTCTTGACTGGAAAGTTAACAGCTGTTAATGCTAATGTTCAATATGTAGCAACAGCAAAACTTATAAAAAGCTGATAATAATCTATGTTTTTCCGATTGTCTATTCCTTATTCCTCTATCAAACTATTAAAACACATCACAGAGTGACACTATTGAACTGGGTGACATTTGTCTTTATTAACTTTATTTGGACTCACTCCCACCTCTGTCCTACTGTCCTAAATACTCACTGGTGCACTAAACCGGCAGCTGCAAATGGTCTCCAAATGTTTGCCGTTTACTCCTGTTTGAGTGACATTTGCTAAAAACGCCCAACTTATTTAGGAGACTTTTTAGTCTTAGGAGAGATTTTTAAGATTTATATCTTCAGTAAGAACTAACAGGCTTTGAGGCCACAGACTGGGGACATTGTGATGTGTTGAGAGACGGACTAATCCACTATTGATTTAGGTATTTTCATGGAATATGTGGACAATAACCAAACGCCACCAGCCTCATCCTTAAGTTGTGTTTTCTAATTCTCTAAATCGGCTTTACGTTTCTGGTCGAAGAGTTGTGGTCCATTTGTGGAGGATGGAGCTGCATCAAATCCGGGATCCAGGATGAATTCTCTCTTTAGTTTGAAATCTAGATTATATCACAGAAGGCAGGAAACTGATCAACATGGAATCTCAAATAAAAAATGGCTTTTTGCTTCATAAAGCAGAAATACTGCACAAGGTATTTGTTTCACTTGTGCAGACAGGTTTACAGAGTTGCTCATCACTTTGTCATCAGTTATAGATTCCTACTACACCCTATGACTGTACTCCTCCAATCACATTTATACAAAGCAAGACGGGATTGGAATATTTGAATCGAGTGGGTGAAAAGTGTTCACCTTCCTCAACCTAATTTCTCATGCTGAAAAACTGATTGCAGATGCCGTAAAAGTACAATTAAGGTTCACCACACACTTCCAGACGCTCTGCTTTGTTGTGCGTATGCGGGAAAGAACATGTCATTTGTTTAATTTTCTTCCATTGTGGTTTACATAAGGCGCAAAGCAGACACAGCTTGGAGGACTTGCTGCCTATTAGTCTTTGTTTTGACATGATTCCTGGTGCAGTTTGGTTGCTTTGCAGGTTACTGGGGGAGGCCGGTGTGAGCTCCACCGCTCTCTGCTCACCCGGGGTCTCTGGGGCATGGCACACACATGGAAGCACTTTAGAGCTTCACTACACTGCAATTGGGCCTATTACCATAATTACAGCTTTAAAGCCCCAGCAATTTGTATCAGGCATGCACCAGCGCAACCACCAGGCCTTTGGCCCTGCGGAACAACAGCCCCCCACCCCTTTCACTTTCTACACACTCTCCTTTGTCTCTGCGTTTCATTCTCTCGTCTCTTTCTCTTAGTTCGCTCGTTTTCTCTGGTTACATCAACATCGGGGGAGAGAAAGGTTTGCAGGAGCTCATCGTGATGAAGAGCTTATGGTGCACGTTGTCTGGGCTCTGAGATACCGCTGAGACCCAGGAGGATAGTTGGAGGAGAGAGAGAAGGAGAGAAAGAGAAAAAAAGAAAGAGAGAGAAAACATCAAAGGTGAGGTGCAGAGGTGGATGCTGGCATCAAAGAGCTCTCCTGAACATTACCACTTGGTTACTGTTGCAGCCAGGAGAGTGGGATTTGTAGTCAGGGCATGGATGTTTGGAGTCTCAAACGTCACCTTTATTGTGCAGGCTGTTACTGATTTAAAATAGCTGGAGGAGAATCACCCTTGGCTCTTATTAAACACAAAGCAGACATGTAATTTCTCTCTGATTAGATTCCAGCACTGCAGCTACACAAACAAACAATGATACAGTGGCTTGTTAAGTGTGTGTCTGTGAGACAGAGAGGGGGAGAGCGGCGTCCCACTGGTGTTTGGCCCCGACCCAGACCAAATCTGCTATGAGCATTGAGCCGAGGTGCATCCTAACTGAATGATGGCGGCTTGTACACAAGCAGGCCCATCATTCACTGTGAAATGAGGGTTTGTTTTAGTGCTGGCAGCCCTCTGTGGCCCCATTAGACCTGGCCCTTTGTCTGCTGCGCATCATAAACACATCAAAACACTCAAATAAACCCTTCCACTTGGCCCCTGTAACACCTTAATCAATAGGACGGTACAGCAAGATGGCAGGGAAAGCTTTTATACAGCTCATTTTTCAGCAGTAGCTGTAAATTCACCCCCACCCCCCCCCCCCCCCCACCCCCAACCCCAACCCCAGCCTCCCAAAATGTGATGGGATAAAATGGTTCGTGTAAAGAGTGTAAACAATCACAATTAGCCTTTGAGCACTTCTCCAAAATGAACACACACACTCACCCTGTAAGGCCTCGGCTCTTCCACACGTCGTAGAGCACCACTGGGATGTTGCCGCTCGCTGTGGTCGAGCCGGCCTAGACAGAGAGAGAGAGAGAGAGGAAGAGAGAGCAAATAGAGGTGTGATGACGGATAGACTGTCTTCTTCCCTTCCTGCTCCCCCGGACAGATGCCCCCGTTTAAGCGCCCCCCCCCCTCTTCTTTCATTCCTCCGTCTCGTCATGGACAGCTGTGTCAGCGCAGGTGACACCTCCATCACCCACCCATGCACTCGGCTCAGAAACACACCCAGCCATTTGCCCACCCAAAAGCACACTCAACAAGTTCTCCTCCACACCCGTCGGTCTGGCACTTTTATTTACACAATACGGCTTAGCTGGCCAGAGAGTTTTTAATCCATCACTGTGAAGTGGCAGAGCTGCAGGATAAGGCCTGGTGGGGTTAAGTGAGGGTGGGTGGTGGCAGCAGAGAGGAGAGAGGAAAAGAAAGAGGCGGCGGAGGGAAACACTAAAATGAGGATGTATGTGTATGGGTGCATGCACGCCAATCCGCGCCACAGCTCGCCGAGCATGTAGGAAACAGTTCGCTACGTCCGCTGTAGATTGTGACTCAAAGGATCTGCTGGAACGAGAGGAAGATTCCCGCATTTTTTCTTCATGTGAGAGGGAAAAAAAGAAACCCACCCCTATTCCTTATGTTTCTGTTGGTAGACAGGTGGCTGAGAAATGAGTCTCCCTTCTCCTCGTCTGACAAGTTTTCTTTTCTTTACCGCCGTGGAATGGTGGAAGGAGGGAATGGAGGAACAGGGCGTCCAAAACACACACACACACACACACACACAGACACACACACACACACACACACACAGACACAGACACACAGACAGTCCCTGTGTAACTTATGCTGACATACAAAAATATCTTCATGCAAGTTTTCTCTGGCTTATGTTGGTTTGCTTTGTTATGTGAAGTCCTCATAATCATTTATAAATTCCACGTAGCATCTACACTGTTTGTCTTGTCATACAATGACAAGACGGTGTTCTAACACGGCAGCCTGACCCTGATGTGTGGAGGGTAGTGAATGTGACACTAATAGCAGCAGCGTGGTGCTCTAGCAGGAATCACGCCAGCCTGAGCAGAGGAGCAGTGTTGTACAGTAGCAGCGGCAGTGCGATGTGCCAGGCTTGTCACCACTGCTGCAGGCAGGGTGGTGTGGCAGGAGTCCTGTCCTGGAGGAGCTTTACACGTCCAGCTGTGCCCTGGACATCCGCCCTCGTGTGCGTCGCCCGCGCCAGACTGCCTGCTGTACAACAGCGCTCATTCATTCTGCCTGCCGGAGAAAAGAGAGAACCTTCTCCTCCGCTGCTGTGAGAAGGAAACTAATGCAACAAGCTCCAACACCCAGATTTCCTCCCCCCCTTCGTCCGATCCAAACCGTTCATACCCATCAACGCCAGCCCGGCTCACTCTGTCTGTCTCTGTTCCACTCTCCTGCCTCAACTTGTCTTCCTTTGCTGCTGTGGTACCAGACTTTAGTCTGACAGGATATTTAAAATGCTTTGAGGCAGCACAGATCAGTTTTGGTCATATTTTGTTTTAATATCATAAACTATACAAAGCATATTTTATTATTTTTTTTTTCAGCCGATTCTTATTAGAGCTAACATTATTAGCCAGTTCATAGATAATCAATTAACTATCATCATTTTTTAACCAAAAACCAGCTTCTGGTACGGGGCAGGATTAACCCCCATACCAAATATACGACTTCATATCTTTGGGTTTTGTAGTGTTGATCGAACAAAACATTTGAAAATGTTATCTTGGGAAATTATCAATAATTTATTATCAATCATTAATTGATAACACAATTTACATATTAATTGGAAAAAGAAAATAATATTTAGTTGCAATGCTTTTAATACCAAGCAGGTTGAATAAGGAAGGCTTTGCAGCAAACTAGTAATTTAACAGTTCGAATGTCACCACAGTGTTAACACATTAAAAGTCCTAATATTATTAGGACTTTTAATATGTTAACAACGTTTGTGGATAGATTTTAAACATAGACACCTCCAGTCTGTCAGCGGAAGCAGTTTCAGTCCTGGCTTTTATTTTGTTGAGTGAATACACAAGTTTCATTCTCACTGAATGAAACGAAGCCTTTTTCCCAGCTAACCTGTGCTGCCTTAAGTGAATCAAAAACTTGGCCTTATAAAGTTATAACCGAACAGCTTTGAGGCAGCCCAGGCCGAGTCCTTTGCTGGTGGTAAATTACAGCAGCTGCATTTCAGATAATGTTTACAGGAAGCCTTTGTACCGTGCTGTTCCACCTTCAGCCAACGGCTTCTCACAGGAGATCAAGACTGACTGAGTGTTTTGTTAATTCCAGTATCTCATTAGTTAGGATGAAGGTTGGGGTGGGGGGGGGGTGGGGGCGTGGAACACTGTGTCTTCTCCAAGGACAGTCGGTGTGTGTTTGTGGGGGGGCTGATTGGGGTAACTCTGAACTCACTACCCTTTACACACACACACACACACACACACAGGACGAAGTGAGGGAAGCCAGACATACAGTTGGAGCGAGCCAAAAGTGAAAGAGGAGGTAGAGAGAGGGAGGAAGAGGAGGTCCACCGCTACACACACACACACACACACACACACACACACACACACACACACACACACACACACACACACACAGAGGGTGGTGGTGGAGGGGAGGTGGTGCTTTAGAGGGCTTACACAGAGTAGCAGAGTTAACAGGAGGGACACTGGCCCTCTGGTTCACCTCTCAGTGACAAGCAGCCTTGAGATGGAAATTCCTCTGGAGCAGCAACAAGTCCTCACTCTAACACTAACCATGCGCACAAATATGTCTTCCCGACACTGTCCATAGTCCAGGTCAGATGATGAATGTGTGCGTATGTCTCACTACTGTCCCGGCGCTACCTCGGCCCGCTCCGTTCTGTGTGCTGACACTGTTGAAATTTACTCAGGCTGCAGGCCCGCTCAGCTCTTTGCCTGCGAGGCATCACCTGACAGCAGTGTTTAAAAGTCGCTGCCAGTGGGTGTGTGTGTGTGTGTGTGTGTCTTTGACTGTGTATACCTTTGCGAGCATGATCCTGGTCTTTGCCACGTCAAGAGGAGTGGTAACAAATGCCGCTACTGCACCTACAAAAGACAAATACACACATTTAGCGAAGTGCAGACATAAAAGGGCCTCTCTCTGCTCTCAGAACAGTCTTTAAATATTAAAAATAAACCCTTAAAAAGTCCAATTACTTAACCGCAGTTACTGTAACATATTAATTCAGCAATAAACAGTGGAACTCTTGGCCCTCCTCTCCACTGAGTTCATAAAAATGATAATATTCCCCATCCGAGACCTCCCCCATTATTAGACCACAAAAACCAGACAGACACACTTCTATTCCCACCGCCCCCCCTCCTCCGGCCTCATCCAACCCACGCCTTCCCCTGAGTCACACACACTCCCTCCTATAACACACACAAGCACAGGCATATATATATATATATATATATATACACACACACACACACACGCACACACCTGCTTGTACGCACAAGCATGAAAAACAGACGTATTTGGATACCTTCAGACGCAAATGAACACACAAATACACACAGATAGATACACACACACACTCCCTCAGAAGAGTTTTATTACAGCAGTTACACCCTGACTTCCCTCCAACACTCCAAGTTGGAAGCTGGATAGGCGGCGTGATCCAGAGGTGTCCCCACTGAGCCACAGTGTGTGTGTGTGTGTGTGTGTGTGTGTGTGTGTGTGTGTGTGTGTGTGTGTGTGTGTGTGTGTGTGTGTGTGTGTGTCACACTCTGCCACAAACATAGCAACTGTTCTGGGTAAACATATCCATATGGGCCACCAAGGAGCAATGTGACTGTAAGTGAGCTGAGGATACAGGAAAACATGAGGACCAGCGTGGTGCAACACTCTGTTACATTTTACTAGTTAATGCTGGCTGGTTATAAGAGTGGATTTAAACGATTTTCTTTTTTTTTTTCTCCTGCTTGGGCGGATACAAATCAAACTTCAGCAAGCATGAAAAAGATACAGCCCTCATACTGCAGGCTGTTTTCTAATATTCTTGGAGAGCAATAAAAGGATGCATTATCCTTATAAATCTTACACATGGAGCGCTGAATCGGGGGATCTAAATTTGGCTGGAAAACGCCATGTGATGTGATGAAGGTTAGACGCGAACCACTCGGTGATGTAATCTCGTCTCGGGCTAGGCAGGTCTCTCCAGGCGGTTCAGACGGGGTCAAGCCCGTCGTAAGTCAGTGCGCCGTACTAGTGGAGATATTTGCGATGATTAAATGCGCTTGTGTGAGCATTTCCAGTGTCAAGCGGATTATGTATGAGTGAAAGAGAGAGTGTGAAGTGCAATGTAAGGGGAAGCGACTGAAACTTGAGGCTCCCTCTTGGACAGCAGCTCGGTCACAGGACCCACGCCCCCGTACTCCCCCACTGCCAACCCACGCCCTCCCCCCCTTCTTCTGCTTTTGGCTCAGGTTGTCTTTTCTTCTCCCAGCTCAACACTTCTCAGTCATTTTTCCTCTAATTAACAATTCTGTCAATATAGTGGATATGTAGTGTGTCGGATTGCTTACAGTTGAATATTGTAAGTCTTTTACGTCTTTTTTCTCATCCACATCTCCTGTCTCCCCTTTCACTTCTTCTACTCTGATTTCTCTCCCTCTCGGCCCTTTTCTTCCCAGCATGGACCGAGCCCAGGTGGGGTGGCACAGAGCCACATCTCAGCTCCTCAGGGTGCCGTCTCGTTCACCTCCATCTCCATCTCTTCATCACCCCCACCCCTGAGCAGCTAACCTCAATCTTCCTGTCCTGTCTGGCGAGTTGTAGTGTCGCAAGAGTTATGGACTGAAAGCTAGAACCATCCAAAAGCAGTTCCATGAGCCGACTCCAGCATGGAACTGTTTCTTCTTCTGAAATATGTATTTTTGATTGCGGTTCTGCTTCTTCGTCACGATAAAAGATGAAGACTAGGTGGAAGGAAAGATGATGTGACACATTTGTTATTCAGACCTACGACACTGGAGGTAGATGCTATGTTCCTGTCTACCTCTGGACTTATCTTATTCTCTCTCTCTTATACTGATGCTGTACAAGTCAGATGTCCATCACCATCACCAGATGCACCACTGACCTTTACTTGTTTGCAGTGCTGTTGCTGTTTCTTTTCTTTTATCTGAGCCAGTCTCTGTCTCTGTCTCTGACCATTTCATGTCTTTTTCTTCATGCAGGAAAACGTATTGTTCCTGAAGTGGTTAAACAAGATCACAAAGCACAAACCACAGCATCCATACACAGCTTCGCCTGTATTAAACTATACCCAGCCAAATCAAATAAAAAAAGGCCAACTGAATCACAGTCCCTACATTCCCCTGACAGCCGTTTGGGCTTCTCAAAGTTGAGAGGAGCTACGCTGGTGAATATGTGGCATGAACCAATAAATAATGTCTGGTATAAGAGATGCTGTAACTAATAGATGCAACAAAAAGTGAAGGAGATGCCAATCAAGCTCAGTCTGTACACACACCTCCACAGTCTGAGGAGAGGTCTGACCAGGGGAATAAAGTGAAAACACCTGTGTGGATGCACTATTAAAAGCTAAAAGGTAGAGTAAAGTATATACTTTATCTTAGTTGAGCTTTTCATTAACAAGTGGTATAAAGTAAACTCTGGAGTACTGTCATTTATTTTCATGAGTCAAGTTGAGGCCGGGCACCTTTGGGAACCTGTCTTTGTTAATCAGACCAAGGGAACCACTCTAGTTTCAGTAAAAAACACACCCACAAAGATGTTTTTTCCTTCTTAAACAGAACAAGCGCGGGGCGGCCACAGAACTGAATGGTTAAGGCTCGATTCCAACAGGGGGCCATTGTTGCATGTCATACCCTTCTCTCACTCCCCTCGTTGGCCGTCTGCCTCTATACGAAGAAAAACGCTTCCTCGCAAATACTATCAATGTTTGTCTCCAGTAACACTTTATTATCAATAATAGTGTTATGGATTGTTGTAATCATAAAACAATGTCCTGGCACAATAGCTTAGTATCATGTTGTATGCTGCACGCCTTCCAACCCTGCAGGTTTGCCTCGATTCTTTTCCACCTACATTAACAGTGTGGTACGACAAATTACTTTCAATTCTCCCTCATGAAATGTTGTCCAGTGTATTGCAAGGAAGGTTTTTAATTTGTAGAAGTGGTCTCCCCTCAGTATGTATTTTGGTTGAGTGGCCAGAGATAACTTGTCTGAATGAACTTAATTTGTTCATTTAGTTCTATCGGTTATTGCGATTTTCTCCCCCCTCTTTTTTTTTCTTCTTCTTTTTTTGTGTGGGGCTTGTTTTGATCGGTTGTCTGTTTTGTTTTGTATATGTGTTCATGCCAGGACAGCACTATAAGAAAGGTGTGTATTTAATTTGACCATGTGTTTATCTTGTTTCCTGATGTGGTCTGATAAAGGGAAAAAAACAAGAAAAAAAAAAACTTTTGAGACGATAATCTTGAGATGGAACTCCTTACATTAAAATACAAAATCATTAAGCACAGGACTGGGCTCATAACCATAATCTTAAAAATTGGTACTGAGGGAACTTTATCTAGTATGTATCTCTTGTGTTTCATACTCTTAATTCTCTGTAGTTGTTGCCTTTTCCTTTCCCCTATTCATCCTGTTTATAGTCCACTCCCTCTTTTCCTGTGCCTTTCTTTCTTCCTCTCTCTTAAACCACTTCAGGCCCCAGTGCTCAGGAGGTCGCACAGCTGCAGGGGCCCATACCCAGGAATCAGCCCCTCTCATCCCTCCTCTCTTGTCCCCTGGTTGTCTGTCTCTCCCCTGATACTCATCCCGGCTAAGACGAACCCATAAAGTCTCCTACGGTATGATTTTCATTAACTGAAGGGCTTGAGAACCGTAATAATAAGACCTTTCTCATTAGTGATGCAGAATCGCTGTACTGAGGAGCGTCAGTTGCTGTTTGGTAACAGTGTGTCAGAAAAAGGCTGAAATTATTTCTTATCTTATTCTCCGTCCTCTTGTCTTGGCTTTGGGTAAACTTGTCCTGCCCTGCTGGCCATCTATTCACCTATCCATGTATCTATCTGTCTTTCCATCCATCCCTCCTGCCCTTCTTCAACCCCCTCTACCCTCCCCCTCCCCCCTCCCTCCTCCCTCTCCCCCCTCTTTCCCAAAGCAGCATATAATCCCCTGCACCTGCAAAAGCTCCGCACACTGCAGCCTGCCAAGAGTAGAGCGTGTGACCTTGCCTCCATGACCACAGAGTCTGGGAGAAAGAGAGAGAAATGTCGAGAGAGAAAGAGAGGGTTGTCGATAGAGGAGGATGATGAAAGAGCAAGAAAAAGGGAGAAAGCGGGAGAAGGAGAGAAGAGATTGTAGTTACTGGAGATATCAGACACATTGAAAACACATTGTGAACCTTGGTCTGGACTGGGGTCCAGGCCCACGGCTGGGAACCGGCTTGTCCGGCTATTTTTGTGTTGCCTTTTCTCCCCAGTGATGTCATGCTACTTGTTTCCCAAGAACTGGGACTGTACAAGAGGGAGGCAAGAGAATACGCTCCCACTCTATAAGGCTAAATCGTTACACATGTTGCTCAATGGCATCATTTTAACAACTGTTAAAGTCCCACCATTTATTTGGATACATTTATTGATGTACTGTCATAAACAAATGAAGTACAAGGTTGGTAACTTTCTATAGTTTTTCTAGGAACATGTGTTATCTGTGCAGCCACAGCCTGAGACATCCTGCTCCTCTGTACCACAGAGCCCCATTGTTGTCCAAAAACTATTAAAAACATCAGTGAGAATCAATTTCAGGCACTCACATTGTTGCACTGGATGACATATTCCACACACACCGTTCTGTTGCCAACAAATGCACTATTTACTCATTTCTGAGCGATGTTTGCTAAAAGCTACGGTGGCCAGCTGTTGACAATAAATTACTTTTAAAAATACAACCTACAAATTTGTGAGCTCTTTTTTTTGAGTTTTAGTGGGAATGAATGGACCTTGGAGCAGATCGCCACACAAAGGGCAGTCCAGGTCTTAATACACCGAAAGTATTAAGAGATGAACTTATGGACAACACACTGTTCATTTACAAAAAGAAAAATATTGTAAGTTAAAGTAGTTGCGTGCATATCTGCAAAACCTCAGAGGGATACAAGCTAGATACACAAGATGTATTTAAGGGAGCTGTGGGTGCTGCTTGCAATAAGAAAAAAAAAAAAAAAAAATATATATATATATATATATATCATCCTTTAGGTCAAGTCATTTTTATTTATATTGCCCCAAATCACAAACTTGTCTCAGAGGGTTTTACCACCCAGCCTTAGACCCTCAATTCCAATGCGGTACACAGAGTGCATTTAGACAAATTATGCTGGCAGTTTGTGTTTACTTTACTCCAAAGAAGATTAGCTTCATGTCCTGACCAAGAGACTGCTCAGCTTTACAGGCTCTACAGGTGTTATTAACTGAAAACTGCACAGCCTTTTGTTGATTTACAGAAAAAGTAAAATGTAATATTAAATGAAAGTCAGAACAAATGAAGTCATTTCTGTGTCTAAAAACCCTCAGACCACAGGACTGCCTCCCCAAATGCAACTGGCTACTGAGTGAAACCACCTGATGTTTTTGTTTTGAGGATGAACTCAGGATGGGGAGGCAGGCTGTCTCTTTTTCTCCCCCCACTAGTTTCAGCAAAGCAATGAGGAGACCGACTAGGCAAAGTTAGTCTTTGTATAAAATGCACATGGACAGCTGGGCTGCCTCGGGCACTGCAAGGTATGATTACTTCTCAGGGAGAGCAATTGAGCAACAGCATGGAGCGATTACTAATATTTTCTTTGTCCATCCACCCCCTCCCCACCCCCACCCCCACCCCCATCCCCCTGCACATTTAATCTGTAACATGTTATCTCATTCTCCTCCTATCTCACACACATGTGGAGATCACAAAACCATGTGTGCGTGCGTGTGCATACAAACACAAACAAGTAAACACACACAGAAAAAAAAAAAAAAAAAGACAGAAGACAGAAGAAAGAAAAGGAGGACCGGCAGAGAGCGTGCACGAGCTCAGGATGTGTCATGTGTATTCCATTAGAGGCCAGATTAAAAAGGAGATTTTGTTTTCCACATCAAAGGCCTCGCGCTGGGGGATTCCTCTCTGTCTCTCTCCCTTCTCTGACTCGCTCCCTCCCTCTTCCTCTGTTTCATGAATAAATAATAAGGGGTAAACCTGGGAAAACAAACTTTTTGACCTGTGAACCCTGGTGTCAGGGTCAGACTTTGCACCTGGATGACTTCCCACAGGAAAAGAGGTGGTGGGTCTGTGTACATGTGTCAGCACGTCACATATGTGTTTGTATTTTTGTGTGCGGGGAGGCTGCATTGGATAGTGCAGGCCATTGGCCTTCATTTGAATTCCCATCATGCCTGTGAAACAGAATTCCTTAAATTTTTTGTGGCTGTTTCTTGGTGTTTAATCATAACCTAAAAGTGTTACACCCTCCTGTTCTGCTAATGCTGTTTTTGAGGTCAGAGCAGATGGAGTAAACTGCACAGTTCAAAACCGCAATGTTGTGAAATGAATCAGCGAAAAAAAAAAAAAAAGCGAGAATTATTCAGATGGATGTTGGTATCTGGCGTGAAAAGACATTAAATCTCTACGCAGTGACCAGTGTGTCAAATTCTTTCATATCCTGCGACTTGCTCAATCAATTCAACAAATCCCCCGACTTTTCCTTCCTGCTTCAAACCTGTCGGCGATATCCAAGAAATTCAATGACCAGCTGAACCTAATGCACTCTACGAAAGGATTTGTCTGCTGACTCCTCTTCCAACAGGCCTAAAGCAGTTGGGTGGTTGATTTTCTCCCTTTTCCTCTTTCTGTTTCTCTCACTGACAGCTGTGCTGGCTCGTTGTGAAATAAAAAGAAAGAGATCATAACGCAGCACATTACTATTCCGCAGAGCAGATGGGAGATCATGCCACACACATTCAAGCTCTCAAATTCCTCAACTCGGGCATTTCGGGCACTAAATCAAGTTATTCTTATTTATGAAAGCCTCTGAACATCGTGGTGGTCACTCTGAAGGAGTCACTCTGGCAGTAAAAAACCGGTTTGACTGTAAGTACCTGTCTTTTCTTTTCTTCCCTCGGTTAGTCTCTGCTGTTGTAACTTCATTATTCAGAGCATCATGTCAATACAGACGAGAGGAGAGGAGAGGAGAGGAAAGGAGAGGAAAGGAGAGGAAAGGAGAGGAAAGGAGA